CAACCTTGGATGTCAATGGCAAAAGCTTACCCCCAATCATACAGAGAAACAGAACGCATAAGTGAAGCAGATTCTGCAATGTCATACAACTCAACAACACCTCTTCTGGTACCAACAGCAAGGAGTTGTTGTTCTGAAGCAACTGCAGCACATACAGCATCACCCGAGCCCAGTCTCTTTTCAGCTTTGATAGACTCCATTTGCTTCAGACCCTTTTTGCTCACAGAACACAAGACCAGTTGTCCATCAGAAAATAGCACAAAAAGCAACCTTAAGGGTAAGGAGAATTCCAAGTGGACCACGGCAGAGTTTTTCGACGAATGATGACTGAATTTAGCAAAAGGTAAACTCCCACCAGAAGCAAGGCCGTTTTCCAAAGAACTTGCTAGTTTAGGAACCCCACTGCCATCATGAGGCTGAACATCAAGATCAAAGGCATCAAAGGCTCCACAAAACTGCAATACAACAAAAAAATAAAATGAACAAACATTTTCTGCTGACTGAAATGAACAACTACAGTCTTTATTATTTTAATAAGTAGACATAAACCAGAACTGTCAACTAAAATTTTCACATTAATGCACGATACTATTAAGACATGTTTCAAAAGAATTACCTCGCCCTTCCAGGATATATTATACAGAGATCCATCAGAAAGCCCAACTATCATATGTTTGTTGTCACAAACTATATTGCTCCTGCAAGCCACATATGCAGGGAATAAACTAATTATGTATTTCAGCTGAGAGCAATAGCCGATAAGTTAAATAATAAAGAAACGAATCTGGTATGAAAGACATGAATGGACCTATCTCTCTATTCTCCACAAAATAAACTGCCAGTGAAACAACACCAATCCCCACAAGTAGTAAAGTGCAGACCGAATAGGACCTCGGGATCTCAATATGGTGACAAATGAAGACAAAATTATACTTGAGTGATAACTTAAGCTACAGTGGAAACTATCCCTACTTAATTGACAACTTAAGCCATTTTCATAATGCACCCACAGATAAAATGAACAACGAGATCTCTGGGCCAAGCAAATATGCAAAAAGAATAACTAGACTTTCTTTTGGGAATCTTACATTAAGATTTGGATTACGTGGTTATTAACTCCACTATCCTCTAGGTCTTGCATTGTCACGAGGTTCCCCTTTTCTTTTGACAAGTACATCAACATGAGATCTTTTAAAAATCAATTTACAGATATGTAGCTATTTACATATATGAGTAGATTATTTCAGCTACTGATTGTGCATTAGCCCCACCTTTCAAAATTCAGTAACATATTATTTTTAAAAGATTTTCAATAAGATAAATTTTTTGACGCACAAAATTCAAAAATATCAATTGTTGGATAGATATACAATTATTTTAGGGCTTGACAGAGGAAATGTCAAACCCTCCTGCCTGGCACAAATTGCAACCAAACTGCATAAATATTTGACTATGCAGTTCCAACAACCTTTGACTTCATAACCAGTGGACATCTGGTAGCTTATGAGAAAAGAAGATATTTTGGGAATACATTTCTGATCTCATGGATTTACCAAAAATAAAATAAATAAAACAATTGTATCTCATGGACATTGAAAGACTTGTTTAGTTCACAGTACAAAAAATCCATGGAGGGTGAAGTTTTCAGCTTGAGATTAAAATTATAAATTGTCAAGAAGTATAAACAGGGTAACTTACATTGTCAAGTTCCTGTTAGCAAAAGGCACCTGTTCAGTCAAGAGCAAAGTTATGCTTGCTAAAAACAAACCAGTTGGTTGTTTGCCTCCAATTTGTATTTTCCTTTCTGTAAAATGGACCTTCAGAATGTGTAGATAGAAGGAAGAGGTCTGCAATACAAAGAAAGTAAGACAAAATAAGCATAAAAGGCACTCAATGTTTCGCACGTATCAAAGCAGCTCTAACTTCTCAGTATCAGAGACAGGGGCAACAAACAGTAACAGTTCTTTAAATGTCAGCAACAACCGCTTTCACTTTAATCAACCCCTAACTAATAATGATAGGATTTAAGTTTTTTTAGTGTATTTAACGTGATATTTACACTTACCAAAGACAATTGAATTGATAGTGTATAAAGTTAAATCCAATTTTCCTAGAAAGCTCAGCAAGCAATTTAGTTCTCAAGTGTCCATAAAAGTATAGCGGCTCTTACAAGATAATTCAAATTGTAAAGCATCTTATATTAGTGTTTATGAGCGTGAAATCATCAACTATCACATTTTCCATAAATCCTGGACAATACAGTAGGCAAGTAAGCTGTAGAGCACTTGGGATGCCCTAAACGGTCCCGCTCTTGAAATGCAAATGGAGCACATGTGTCAGTTTACATGACAAATTATCACTATACATACCACTCATTATGAAAGACTCCACCAATCAACTACCCGAACTAGTCGAGGTCGGCTCTATGAATCTTACTCTCTATTCATTCTGCTCTATTCAGGCACATTACATTACAAAGAGATCGTAATCCCGAATCAATGTAAGACACTTACAAGGACGGCAATCAATTTGGTATCAGGACTCCAAACGGCGCGCAAATTCTCGCCTTCCTTCTGAATTGAATCAGAGCTTCTCTTGTACTTGCCCAATCTCACTCTATGCTGCAACACAAAAGAAACGTGAAAAATAATCAGCACTCAATTAATTATCTAAATTCTCCAATTGTTGCATTCATTCAGACCTGGGAGGAGGACCATAGTTCAAGATGAGTAGGGGAAACGACGAGCAATAAGCGATTGATGAGCTTCAGGTATACAATTTGCTGAGAAGAAGAAGGGCATATCCCAGCTGATTCCATAGGGATGACCTGAGGCCATCCATATGCCATATACATCTTTTTCCAAATAAATGCAAGAAATTCAGTTCAAATGCAGATCAAAGAGTGGGAGGGTTAGGGTTTAGATGGAGATCCAAATCGGGTGTGCATTTGATGCAGAAGAAGATGATGAGTGAAAGAGAGTGTCGATGTGATGGGACCTCCCTTTCGTTTCAGTTGGGGGGTTTGGATCTCGAGAGTTTTGAAGAACAACTGATGTTGCTGTAAAATTGATTTTATCGTATTTGTATTTAGATCCCACCACCCCCCCTCCCCCCCCCCCTCCCACACACACAAACTGTATTTAGACCCTCAATTTGACTCGTCCCATTTAACTCCGCCCGAAATAGCTTTTCTAACAACAAAAAATTGTTGATTGATACTATTTTTAGAATTAAAAAAAGTTGATTGATTGAATTGGATCAATCTAATTCATTTTCTACTTGAAACCTTGACGAAAATATTTAATAAGTAGTATATGGTAAGTACTGTATAATGCAACATGGAGCTTTTAAAACGGTATAATAACTTATTAATAAGCAGAGGCGGTTCAATAGAATTGGAGGCATAAAGCCAAGACATAATAACATGCCTTAAACGTGTTTAATAATTCTAGATTTTTTTATTGATTTTTTTTTTTTTTTTACTTCTTGAGATGCAATTTCATCTTGACGGTGTGACCAACCCCTTTAATCTTTATTGAAACATTACTAACCTTTGATAAGATTTCATTAAGTTTAATTTTGATTTTTTCTTTTCACATGAACGTCAACATAACTTACTATATAGCATTGCCTCCCAAAGTAACAATCAAGTAAAAATTTGTATTTACAAAGATGATAAATATTTTATGATCTAATTAGCTTGAAAGAGATCTTAAAAGAAAATACCTTACAAAGTTAGAGTTAGAAATAAAATTTATTCAAGTTGGAGTAAGAAGAACTAGAAAGTAATTGCAGATTTAATTGCATTGCACTTTCATTTGAATTTCTCAACCAAATCCAAAAAAAAAGACAACATAAAATATAAAACTATGTTATTGACGATTGGTGACAAGGTAGCAAAAGATGGTTGAATTTTTTTTATCACTATTTAATAATAAATATAATTAATAATTAAATTACATATAAAAAGAGTGGCATTTGGGGCCTCTAATTTTGTGAGGCCTAAAGCGGCCGCCTCTGATAATAAGCTAGGGTGGGAGTTATCCAATGGGTGAGAGGTAGCATGTATCCGATGAAATAGTCAAGGTGCATATAAGCTAGCTCGAATACTGTTGTCATATAAAAAATGATAGTAAACCATGATACCTTTCGTATCAAAATATATATATAATATATATATATATATATATATATATATATATATGTTAGAAGTTTTCTTGTGTGGAATAAATCTTAGATTCACGATTTTATTACTATTATATTTTGTGTAATATAATGTGTTTAGAAACTTAGAAACTTTTTCTTACCACAAATTGAAAAGGAACATGCGGATATTCATGTTTTGAATTCCAACTTTTAGATAATGAAGTTATAAAAGTAGCTACGTTAATACGAGTAAAAATAATGTCGATCGATCTAGTCGTCCTTGTGGACTCGCTAACATCTACTCTTGTTTCAACAATAATTTGATATGTTTTGAACTTATTAAGTTATTATTATAATAGGACTTGTCGTATTTACAGGATTTAACATTTACATCAATCAAGTGGATTAGAATGAGTGACCTAGATGGTTCAACCACCACTCTGTGCTAAAAAATCCAAGCCTATATTTTATAATTAGTCTTTTATGCAGCCTATATTCATCGATCCCAAATAGGAAGTTCTATATGTTGTAGAACTTGAGATAAAAACGAGTGGGGGCTCAAAGGCCTCTGGGTTATATGTTTCCAGTTTCAACTACAGATATATGTCCAAATGGGTAAATAAATCTCTCTGCCATTGCTTACGAAAATGTTTCTTAGCTTTGACATCGGCCTCAACAACTTGAAGATCTTGGAGTTTAAACTAAGAATGCTGTAACTCTGGAAAATGGCAAAGGATTTTTTTTCTTCTGCTTTACTCACTTTCTTTTACTAATAGTAATCGCAAAATAAGTAACTAATTATATTTAGGGAAGTGTGGACCAATATCCATATCAGAGTAACTTATCCTTGCGGCATAATGTATCTTTCTTCAGCACACTAACCAGACACTCTTGAAAATGAATCTTTTAAATAGACATAACATGCAATGTTCATTATTTTACAACCTGCTAGTATAAGAGTATTTACTAGACCACGATAAAATGTCTCAGAATGCCTTAGGCAGTATAACACAACTCAATTATTCTATGACCTCACATGATTTACAAGGTAAGCAACGAATAATGGTCTACAAACTGTACTAAATTCAAGAACATATTCTATGGACTTTACTGACAGGAAAAGGAAAAAAAAGGCTCCAATTCACTGAAGATAATCAGACGTGGGATATCCAGCACCAGGTGGAGGATAATTGGCTGATGGGTAACCATGAGGCTGCTGCTGTGGTGGTGGGTAACCCTGAGGCTGCTGTTGTGGTGGCGGGTAACCATGGGGTTGCTGTGTTGGTGGATAAGCCTGGGGCTGTGCAGGTGGATATCCCACTGAAGGGGGAACAGGCTGATCTAACCGAGACATTTGTTGAGCAGGTGGCACTGCCATTGGCCGTGGTCCAAATTTTCCATCCCTTTTGTCCATTTCAACCTTGTGTTGTGTCTAAATAGAATTATGATGACCAAGATTAAAGTGAGTGCAAGCCAACATATACTAGTGCAAAAAAAAAAGAAATGGAAAATGATCTCAACTTAGAATACGTTCACAGACACCATAACTAATGTTATGACTAAAGTTATACAAGCATAATTAGTTCCATCAATAGTCATGATCAGATATTTACTGAAAAAAGAAGATTTTGATAAGTTGTATGATAAACTCTGCCTATGTGAGTTTTGTAAAGCATAGCTGGTCCTAAGTTTGATAGAGGTTTTAGTATAATTATATGATGAATTGCGTCTGAGTGAGTGAGCTGAATGGATATAGATAATAGATTACGAATCCTTTGAGTGGAGTCTGAATAGAGGTTGTTCATAATAATTTGCAGCAAGAATGGAGTTACCTCCAATGTTTTCTCGCAAATACAGGGAAATTTCATTGTTTTAAAGAAAAAATTGCAATTATATAAATTATGGGTGTAATAAGAAAATAACCTCTTGTTTTGGCTTGGAGGCTAATTGACTATATCAGTGGAACTCTGTTTTTAAGAAGGTAAGATATTTTGACTATTCCAATGGAACTATGTTCGTACTAAACGATTTACCAGATGAAGAATGTGGTCAAGTTATCACATACCTGCATACAGCTGCAAACCCTGCCGATAGAAGAGAAAAGTAAATGAAGAGAAAAATACAACTCGGCACAAAAAATGTTTTTGATACATAAAAACAAGCATCTTACGTGCAGTAAACAATGTCTGACAGACAGTTCAGAAGCTGAGCTGCATCTTGAATTTCTTCACTTCCTGTGAGACAAGCAATAATGCTACATATACATGCTAACTGCTGTAGGCAAAACATGAATCCCTACAACAAGAGGCAATGTAAGTTAGATAAAGAGTTCTATGGATTAACAGTGAAAAAAATATTTATAGAGTCAGGTCATTTATGAGGTAATTCTCGATATCTCTATGAGAAGTAGTATTAGTAGGGAACTAGATAAAAATGATAGCGTACATGCTATAATAGGTGAAACTAACTAATATGTTATTTAAAAAATATTTACATTATTAGAGCAAATAACTTAAATCCTTGGATAAAATGATGAGCATGTCCCAAGCATAGAGAAGTGGGAGGAGAGATGGAGAAGAGTTGCAATTACTATTATGCAATTATCGCATTTTGTTGTCTGCAGATTGAACTCATCTTGCAACATAAAGCGTGTCGAAGCAACAGAATTTGCAAAGCAAAGAAAAACCTGGCAAAAAAAGCATGTTTGAGAAACAAATTAGGAGAAAACAAAGATGCAGACTCAGAGATTTTCAGGAAAAATATCTAAATATCTGCCTGACAATGAAGAGATATATCATATAATCATGAAATTGATAAAGAATTTGGAGGATCAATCAGAATAACACCATACCTCCGTACAAAGACAGAATTCAGGGCAGTGGCTTTCTCCACATCTGCCGCTACAAGGCATATAGCCTCCACAACATGTATATCTACAAAAGAAAGTCTTCAAATGGCACTGATACTTCAAGACGCAGTAATTTGTCAAACAAGAAGAGAAAAAAAGAAAGAAATACCTAGACATATCATTGTATAGAGCTCGTTTGCGGAGGACGTATGATGCACATGGGGCGCTTTAGCATTCAAAGGTAAAGAAAGAATCAGTTTTTAATAGTAGCAGCATCAGTTAGACGAACATTCATACTACTACTTTGTGAGCAAAACAGACAAGAAGAAAGGAAAATCTTGTGGACCTCCAAGTTTCTAAGCAATATTCTTCCATTAGTGATAGAAGGGGATATGGAAGAGCAATTTCGCTGGATGAGCCAGGCAATCAACTGGATTTCTAGACCAACAAGAAGGAATTAAGTAATTTGAAGTAGATGCTCGGACCTAGCGACTCTTCCAGACTGATACTTTTATCCACTTTCATACCGACAGTAGGCATCTTGATTAGACCATTACATCATCAGTTTGAGTTGGTAACATTTCTCGTTAGTCGTCACTCATTGAGAATCTTCCCAACATATTGCATGAAGAAAATAAGCTTCAGAGAACTGTTGTGCAACAACTACTATGTAGTTTTTGGAAAGAAAGCTAACCGAACTCAACTAGTTTGAGATTGATACTTAGTTGTTGTCGAATGTGGAAAGAAAGCTAACTGAACTCAACTAGTTTTGTATTCACTGCGTCCGAACACATTGTCACTGCATTCATTGATTTAAAATCTTCGATCCTCCTTTGTTCAGAAGGGTACTGAGTTAGTTTTGTCTGTTATCTAACAGAGACAAACTTAAGGGTTGGATATCAGAAGTCAGAATTTTGATATTCTCAATAAGAAAAAAGAAGAGGAACTTCCACCTTCTTGTACTGAATAAAGCACCACCAATTGTCCAATGAATATAGGGATGGACAAAACTTACAATGATTCACCAACCAGTACTGGGAAAGGCTTGCGGCTTAAAATTATAATAACAAAGCAAAAGGAATAGGCGATGTATACTGAAGGCACCTTCAGCCCGATATATAATGTTTAAATAAAATTTTAAAACATTTATTTATAATACGTCCAGACCCATTGTCAGTGAATGTATTCAGTCCACTGCTGAAGTAAAATCCTAGATCCGCGTCTGAGCAAAAATGACCTTAAATGCCACAGAAGAAAGGTAAAGAACTAAAATAAGCATAATTTTCAAAAGGATTGCTAGACAAACTTCTATTTTCAATTCTATTTACCACATTCACGCTAAATAATCTTAATTTGATGTTTTCCAATTTACAAGCAATCATAACAACAAACACCAGTTCCCAGCGTCTATCTTATTCAGCAAACAAATAAAGCTATAGTAATTAAACTAAAATATCATAAATCATAATCATAATCCATAAATTAAAAGGGTACGAACATAATAGAAGCACTCACCACCAAAGCGAGAAACAGCAAACTGCAAAAGCCACAAAACACACAGATCATAGTGTAAGTCGAACGCTATAATGCTATATATAAGAACTCAAAAAATCGAAGCAAAAAAAAAAAACGGAAAATTCAAAGTGAAGGGAGATTATACAAAGAGGATCAGACTGAGTGGCTCGCATGAGATCAGTGTGCCAGTGATTCGGATAATTCTGACGTAACTTCATCTTCTCATTTCGATNTGTGGCCAACTCTAAACTGCCTCAATCTTCTTAGGATCCACCTTAATACCCTCTCCTGATACAACATGCCCCAAGAATGCCACAGACTCTAGCCAAAACTCACACTTGGAGAACTTAGCATATAGCTTATGTTCCCGCAATGTCTGAAGCACCACTTGAACTTAGCATATAGCTTATGTTCCCGCAATGTCTGAAGAACCACTCTCAAATGTTGCTCGTGCTCCCCCAGGCTACGTGAGTAAATCAAGATGTCATCAATGAAGACGATAACAAAAGAATGAATATAAGGCCTGAACACCCGATTCATCAAATCCATAAACGCTGCTTGGGCATTAGTCAAGCCGAAAGACATTACTAGAAACTCATAATGGCCATATCTAGTATGAAAAGCAGTCTTTGGAACATCTGAGTCCCGAATCTTCAAATGATGGTACCGCAATCTCAAGTCGATCTTAGAAAACACTATACACCCTACAACTGGTCAAACAAATCATTGATACGTGGCAACGGGTACTTGTTCTTGATGGTAACTTTGTTCAACTGCGGTAATCAATGCACATCCGCATAGTCCCATCTTTCTTATTCACAAATAACACTGGTGCACCCCAAGGTGATACACTTGGTCTGACAAACCACTTTGCTAATAACTCCTCAAGTTGCTCCTTCAGCTCCTTCAACTCTTTCATAGCCATACAGTACGACGGGATAGATATAGGCTGGGTATCTGGAGACAAGTCAATACAGAAATCAATATCACGATCTGGCGGCATGCCGGGAAGGTCAAAAGGAAACACATCGACAAATTCCCGGACTACTGGCACTGAATCAATTGTCGAAGACACTGCGGTGGTGTCCCGAACATATGCTAGATACGCCAAACAACCCTTCCCGACCAGATGTCGAGCCTTTAGAAAAGAGATAACCCGGCTAGATGTACTAACAAGGAACCCTTCTACTCCAATCTCGGCAACTCTGGCATCACTGAAGTAACAGTCTTGGGATGATAAACAAGGATGGCGTGATATGGGGATAACCAATCCATGCCCAGGATGACCTCAAAGTCAATCATATCAAGTAACAGGAGGTCTGCTCTAGTCTCGTAACCACAGAATGTAACCACACAGAACCGGTAGATCCGATCCACAACCACAAAATCGCCCATAGGAGTGGACACATAAACAGGAGTACCAATAACTCACGAGGAATATCCAGGAAATGAGCAAACAGAGATGACACATATGAATAGGTAGACCCTGGATCGAATAATGCCGAAGCATCCCTACCGCATACAGAAATAATACCTGTGAACACGACATCTGAAGCCACTGCATCTGGTCTGGCCGGAAAAGCATAGAATCTAGCTGGAGCGCCGGCTGGCTGGCCTTCACTTGGCTGAGCAATTGCTGGCTCACCTCCCCCTTCTTGGCCTCCACCTCTAGGACGGCCCCTACCTACCTGCTCTCCGCCTCTGAGTGGCCGGACGGCTGGTGCTGTAATCATATCCTGATGACCCTGCTGTACTACCTTGCCCTAAAGTCTGGGACAAAATCTCTTCAGGTGACCCGGATCCCCACACTCGTAACAACCCCGCGGTGCCATGGACTGATGTCCCAAAGTCTGACCCTGATGGCCTGAATACCCACTAGAAGGACCCTGGATGGCTGGTAGGTGGTATGAACTCTCAAGCATGGCACTTAAGTAGGCACTGGAGGAACCTTGATGAACTGGTGGGCGATAAGAACTCTCCGGCATAGCACTGAAATAGGGTCGTGCTGGAGCACCCCGAGGAGGTGGTGGGGGTGCTGGATATGTGGGCCTGCTAGGCTGACCTCTCCCAAACTGACCTCTGCCCCTAGTTGGGGCACCTCTAAACTCTCTGGAGAATCGGGTCCTCTTGTCCTGCTACATCTGCTCTCTACCTCTCTGGTGGTAGCCCTCAATCCTCCGAGCAATCTCTACCACTACTTGATAATCAATACCCATCTCAACCTCTCGGGTCATGCTAGCCCGAATACCGGGGTGTAACCCTGCAACAAATCTCTGCACTCTCTTTGCGTCCGTAGGAAGTATCATAAGTGCATGGCGAGACAACTCAGAAAATCTAGTCTCATAATCAGTCATAGACATCTGACCCTGCTCGAGTTGCTCAAACTGACACCGCAACTATTCCCTCTGAGAGGATGGAATATACATGTCCAATAAGAGCCGTGTAAACTGATCCCAAGTCATGGGAGGAGAACCCGCTGGTCTGCCGAGAAGGTAAGACTGCCCTCCAGCTGGAAAGTGGTGAAATCTACTCCATGGGACTCCAATATCCTCATGTTGTGCAGTCTGTCCCTGCACCGATCAATAAAGTCCCAGGGGTCCTCATGCCGCTCACTCCCGAAGATAGGAGGGTGTAGCCTAGTCCATCTGTCAAGTAGCTTCTGCGGATCGCCATCCGTAGCTGGTCTAGGCTCAGGTGCTGCTGCGGAAATTGGCTGGGCCCCGCCCACGGGTAGTGTACCCGGAGTCTGATATAGTGTAGCCGCATGCCCAGGAGCCTGAGCAGTGGGGGTCTATGCTCCCCCTCCTGCCTGAGATGTGGCTGGGTCTGCTGGAAATAAACCAGCCTGAGTTATAGTGTCCATGAACCGCAGTATACGACCCATGACCTCCTGAAAGCCCGATCCTGTCATGAAATCTACCAGGGCTGGTTCTGAAACAAGCACCTAGCCCTGCTCCTTGATGACGGGATCCTCCACTAGATCCACTGGTGGTGCTACTGGGGCAGCTCTAGGATGCCCTCGTCCCCTACCTCGGGCCGGTGCCCTCCCCTGGCCTCTGCCTTGGCCTCTAGCAATAGGGGGAGCAGCTCTTCCCGGGTCTGGAACATCCACCGTACGCGTCCTCACCATCTGTGAGAGAATAGAAGAAGGAAATTTAGTATACCATCAACTGCACGATAGGATATGAATAAAGAGTAGTTTCCTAACACCCTATAGCCTCTTGAAGATAAGTACAGACGTCTCTGTACCGATCCGCAAGACTCTATCGGGTCTGCCCATAACTTGTGAGACCTACGTGAACCTAGTGCTCTGACACCATGTTGTCACGACCCAAATTCTATTGTAGATCGTGATGGCGCCCAACACCGTTGTTAGGCAAACCAACACTGATCAACTAATGAATTCCCATTTTAAATAATTAGTAAGTGATAACTTCTCCTTATGGAGTTTAAAATTTAAACATAAATAAATGGAAGTAATAGATACGAATCGTAATTACGTAAGTAAACCAAAATCATAAGTCTACTAGTGTGTGTGCCAAGACCTGGTGTCACAAGTATGTGAGAAATCTAGTAGAATATACAAAACCATACTATCCTACTATCTGAAAAGAAACAGACAGAAAAATAAAGACATAAGAGAGACTCTAGCTGCTGCAAAACGGCTCAAAAGGCCAGCTCACCGAAAAGTCTCAAGCTGGGGAGTCAAGTCTATGCGCCGGACTGATGGCCAGATGCACCTGCCTCAAATCCTGTACAATCAAGTACAGAAGTGTAGCGTGAGTACATAAGAATATGTACCCAGTAAATATCTCATCTATCCTCGAAGAAGTAGTGACGAGGGGTCGACTCCGACACTTACTAGGGCCAACAATATAATAATATGAAGTTCAAATTGTAAAACATGATGTATGTAGATAACAACAAGCTCAAAACAAGAATAATATCTGGAAAATCCTTCCATCATGTTTAAGAAGTCAAGGCACTTTCTTCATTTAAAACAAGTGACCTTTCAAGCAACAAATCATACGAATTATAAAGAGTTCCAGTTCTATTATCACACACAAATACCACCGAGGACGTTGGGCCCGATCCAATATAAAAGTAAATTGTACACTGCCGAGGGTCGAACGACACGAACCATATATGCATATATTAAAACTGTCGAGGCGAATGACCGGCTCCCATGAGAGTGTGGAAATAGTCACCCTGCTCGCGGAATATACTTGCGACGCGGTTAAATATAAATATAACGTAATTTTCCTCAATTCTTTTTAAAATAATAATTTACTTGAAACCTTTGAAATATTGAAATCCTCAACTTAGTCCTGTTCAAAGCAAATCAATAAACATATTCAGATAACGGTACCCACAAAGCATGGTGTAAGCCTAGAACTACCCCGACATAACAAGAATAGTAGCTACGTATGGACTCTCGTCACTTCGTGCGTACGAAGCCCCCCACAATTAATCATATATTAATTAAGTTCACATATGGGGAAATTTCCCTCTTACAAGGTTAGAAAAGAGACTTACCTCGTCTCAAGCCTACTTCCCAATTCAAGAATGCGCCCAAATCTCCAAATTTGACGCCGAACGACTCGAAACTAGTCAAACATTACATAAACTAATTAATAATATGCTCAAAAGTTCACAATTCCACCATTTAAGTGATTACCCAACCTGAATTTCAAGATTTCTAAAATTCACCCCCGGGCCCACATGCTCGGATTCCGGAAATTTTTAAAGGAAGTTATTACCCATAACCTTTGGAACATAAATATATGATTTCTACCATAACTAATTTCGTGGTTAAATCTCATTTTTAGCAAAACCCTAGGTTTTCACCTAAGCCCATGATTTTCACTAATTTACATGTTATAATCTACCCATAAACTATGTATTTGACTCACATTGTGTAGAATTTACTCACCTCAAGCTGCTAAGTCGAAATCCCCTCTTTGAGAGATCCGCATCGCTCAATTGTGTAAAGAATGGGAGAAAAATACCTATCTCCCGTATTTCATGAAGTGCACTGCCCAGCGATTTTCGCACCTGCGGTCCCACTTTTGCGGACGAGGGTCCACTTCTACGGAGTTGGGCTGGGCCGGTTGGGGCCGTACCTGCGGACGGATACCCACTTCTGCGGAAAAAGAGCCGCAACTGCGGAACTTGGGCTCCTCTCCTTGGGCCGCATCTGTGAGGCTCCAACCACACC